GGGGGTTTTGAAAAGGCGGTTTTGGCGGTTGATTTGAAAGGTTTTGAAACGGGCGAAAATTAATGTGGATCCATGGAATACGGGTAAACCCGGGGGTGTTGGGTATAATGCGTTTCACCTACCGTTTGTACAAAAACTCAAAATATCCAAGTGGTAACTCTTTCACGGCGTGCGACATATCTGCGTAGCATTCTCTGAACTTCCTTGTGTCTGCGTCAGAAGTGTTTTGTGAGCAAGCCCTAGAAATGGCACAAGAAGAAGTAGTTAATGTGAGGGTGGACCCGTTGGGGGATGATGATGGGGAGGAGTTAGCAGCGCAGTACAGGACGGAGGCGTCGGCCCTGATATTGGCTCCAAAGCCACTAAGCCAGGTAGAGCCAGATCAGTGGCATACTAAGGCGGACAAATCCACACTCACGGCGGCGGATTTGGAGGTCATCAGGGAACGATACCAGATTCCGGCGGAGGTGGAGTTATTGCTGCCAACATCAAGGGAAAGGCCGTCTACTGCTAGGCCAAGGGAGTTTTCCCTGTACGAGGAGGCGCTAAAAGGTGGGCTGAGGTTGCCATTGCCCCAAGTGGTGGTTGACGTGCTGAATCGCCTGGAGGTGGCGCCAGGGCAATTGATGCTCAATGCATGGAAGATTCTGCTGGCCTGTGCGAGTGCGTGGCCCAAGGTGAATGGAGGGGAGGCCATGACGGTAGACGAGTTCTTTTCGTGTTACAAGGCGTCGGGGCAGCAAGAAACTTGGGTCACCCTACAGGCGATGATGGGGAGGGGATTGGTGGCGGGGCTACCGACATCGATCAAGGGGTGGCGGCCACGGTGGTTCTACGTGTCTGCTAATGGGGGAGTGGGGGTGCGCACCATCTGGAAGGTGCCAACTTGGTCGATGGAGTCGAGACTGGGGGCAATGGCGGAAGAGAGAGTGAAGGAGTGGAGAGAGAGAGAGAGAGAGAGAAGGCCAGATGGGACGAGCTTGTTCAACCGTCCGCATTGTTTGAGGCGGGGCTGGGACCGCAGCCGAAGGATGGGGACCTCGACCGAGCAGAATTGGAGGTGAGAAGAAAAGCTCAGGAGGTAAAGGATCAGGCCGTTCTGGCCAAGGCCACGAAGTTGAAGGAAGCGCGAGGAGACCGACCGCCTCAACCGATCGCGCGGGAGAGGATCCGACCGCGCCCAAGGCCGTTGGGGGGAAAAGACTTGAGCAGTTTTGAGCTGCGGCCGCCCCCCGTAGACCCTATAAAAGAACAGGCCAGAAAGGAGGGGGAGGCTCTGAAAAAGAAGAAGAAGAAGAGGAGTGCCCCAGAGGAAGCCGCAGATGAGTCTGGGGCCAAGAGGGCTAAGGTGGCCCCAACTGAGGTAGAGGTCCCTGTGGCCAAGGATGCCCCAGAGGTGGTGGAGGTCATCCCAACAGTGGAGGTTGTGGAGATTGCTCCAACAGTGCAAGTAGAGGCTGGGCTGACTGAGGCGGCGCCGAGCGGAAGGGAGCAGGTCCAGAAGGGGCCTGCCCCCCCAGGAAGGAGGGGTTCGCCTGGCTACGGCAATCTATCATGCGCACGCGGTAGCTGGAAGGTTGGAGGGAGAAGAAGGCCCAGCTAGGGCGGGGGCAGACCGCTTGGTGAAGATTGTGAAGGAGACAGCTCTGCGCGCGGCATCAGGATATAATGAGGCTGACCTACTGAGGGGGTTATGCTCCGCCCAAATGGAGGTAACTACCTTGGTAGGGGCCCTCCTTAGGAAGGCAGGGGCTGCCAAGTTAAAGGCTGAAGAGGCCAAGGCCCAGTTGGCCAAATTGAAGAAAGATAGTGCCGACTGGAAGACTGCCCATGCTGATCTGCCAGCAGTCAAGTTGGAGCTGGAGGACACACGCCGTAAGGTCGTGTCACTCGAGTTCCAACTGGCTGGTGAACAGAAAAAGTTGGAAGAGTCTGAAAGGGCCTGCGCCATTGCGGTCGAGCGGCATGAAGAGGCCATAAGCAGCAATGAAGAGCTGGTCAGGCAAAAGGATGAAGCAGATTCCAGAATTGGAGATCTGTTGAAGGAGTTGGAGGAGGAGCGCGCCAGAGCAGAGGAGGAGAAGGGGAGGCTTCTAAGGGAGTGGGAAATAGAGAAGGCGAAGGCGATGGCGGAGCTGGAGAGTCTGAAGAAGGGGGTGGAAGAGGAGAGGGCGGCGGCGGCTGCTGAAAAGGGGGCCCTGCAAAGAGAGCTGGACGAGGAGAGGGCGAAGGCGGCGTCTGAAAGGGCGGCCTACCCTGATCTGTGCGTCGCAGCAGTGGAGCAATATAAAGGGTCCCCCGAATTTCAGATGGCGGTAGACGCCCCTGTCGCCAGGAGTCTGGCTGGGCAAGAGTCTGGGGGGGTGGGCCCATCAAGGAAGACTGCTGGAGGTAGGACAGAGGCAGAGGTGATTGAAAGCTTCCAGCAGTCAGACTTCTACAAGCACAAAATGGCCAAGTTCTGGGACAGCGGTTGGAAGATGTTCAAGCGCAGAGCTGAAGAGTTGTTCCCACACTTGGACCTAAGTAGTGTAATGATAGGTGAAGATGATGTGGCCCAGACCCCCCTGGACGAGGGCATTGAAGAAGAAGAGCTGGCGTCCAACGAGAAGGAATAACCAAGAAGAAGAAGAGTTGGGCATGCTCTGTGTTTGTGTTATTTTTTATTTATTTATTTTTTTGTTGTAATGAACTTGTGTACACATTGTAAAGGAATGAGTGAATAAATGAATGAATGAAGAATTTAATTGTAATGAATTTGTGGGCCTGTATTGTCTAAAATGAATGAAGTCTTGTTGTAAAAACTTGTGTGGGCCTATATTGTCTAAAATGAATGAAGTCTTGTCATAAAAACTGGTCATAAAAATTGTGCAATAAAAATTTCGTGCAAAGTTAAAGTTAAAAGTTCCTTCCTGCGGGGTGCGATTGGAGTTGTATGAAAATTGAAAAGATGATAGTGGTTGATTGAAAAATTGGAGTAGGGAATTGTAGAGCATAATATTAAGTACGGATGAAGAATCCACGGACGAGGACAAAGGGTAGGTTGCAAATTGTAACTAAACAGTTAATTGTAAACTTGTAGAGGAAAGATTGGAGAAATAAACTAGGTGAGGTGGTAGGTAATCTGATTAGTAAATGAAATTCGTGAGAGTATGTTTGGAATTTAACTAGGTAAAAACGTGGTCCTGGAATTGTGAAAAAGCTTCAAAATGTGACTAAGTGTTAAAAATGTGGTCCTACTTGGCTTTGAAGTGCTCAGTCTGGCTGAGGCTTTGAGTGCTCGGTCTGGCTGAGGCTTTGAGTGCTCGGTCTGGCCGAGGCTTTAAAGTGCTCAGCCTGGCCGAGGCTCCAGGTGCTCGGTCTGGCCGAGGCTTTGAAGTGCTCGGCTTGGCTGAGGCTTTGAGTGCTCCGACTGGCGGAGGCTTTGAAGTGCTCAATCTGGCTGAGGCTTTGAGTGCTCGGTCTGGCCGAGGCCTTAGGTGCTCGGTCTGGCAGAGGCTTTGAAGTGCTCGGTCTGGCAGAGGCTTTGAGTGCTCTGACTGGCGGAGGCTTTGAAGTGCTAAGTCTGGCTGAGGCTGTGAAGTGCTCGGTCTGGCCGAGGCTTTAGGTGCTCGGTCTGGCCGAGGCTTTGAAGTGCTCAGCCTGGCTGAGGCTTTGAGTGCTCCGACTGGCGGAGGCTTTGAAGTGCTCAGTCTGGCTGAGGCTGTGAAGTGCTCGGTCTGGCCGAGGCTTTGAGTGCTCAGTCTGGCTGAGGCTTTGAAGTGCTCGGTCTGGCCGAGGCTTTGAGTGCTCAGTCTGGCTGAGGCTTTGAGGTGCTCAGTCTGGCTGAGGCTTTGAAGTGCTCGGTCTGGCCGAGGCTTTGAGTGCTCAGTTTGGCTGAGGCTTTGAGGTGCTCAGTCTGGCTGAGGCTTTGAAGTGCTCAGTCTGGCCGAGGCTTTGAGTGCTCAGTTTGGCTGAGGCTTTGAGGTGCTCAGTTTGGCTGAGGCTTCGGAGTGCTCGGTCTGGGTGAGGCTTTGAAGTGCTCAGTTTGGCTGAGGCTTCGAAGTGCTCAGTCTGGCTGAGGCTTTTGAAGTGCTCAGTCTGGCTGAGGCGTTGAAGTGCTGCAAGTGAAAATGTCATGGGAGCTACATACAGATAGTTGAATTATGAAAGCTGAGATCTGCAGTCGGAACTTGCATTATGTATTAAAAAGGAAAATACAACAATATTGACAATACAAAAGTATGAACTTATTGATAGTAACGCTTCAAATGTTCCGCATTCCAGGGATGGGGCAGGTCTCGGCCTTCAATGTCTTGAAGTCGGTAAGTGCCTGGTCGTGGTCGGGCTTTCACAACGTAGGGCCCCTCCCATTTGGCTGCCAGTTTGCCCTCGGTTGGATTCTTTGTGGCAAGAGTCACTTCTCGTAAGACCAGGTCCCCCACGGAGCACTCTCGTGGTCGAACTCGGCGGTTGTAGTGTGTTCTCATTTTCTGCTGGTACAAAGCCAATCTGACGGCAGCAGTCTCTCTGAGCTCTTCGACGAGGTCCAGGTCTGTTCGATGGAGCTCTTCGGCTGAGGCCAGATCCGGATGTAAAACCCTGGGAGTGGGCAGACCGACTTCGACCGGAATAACTGCCTCAGCGCCATATGTTAAGCGAAAAGGGGTTTCCCCAGTGGGAGTGCGAGCAGTGGTTCGGTAAGCCCAGAGTACGTTTGGTAGTTCCTCAGCCCAAAGGCCTTTAGCAGCTTCGAGCTTAGTTTTGATGATTTTCAGAAGGGAACAGTTGGTGATCTCAACATGGCCGTTTGCTCGGGGGTGACCGGGGGAAGAGAAGCATGGTTGAATCTGGAGATCTGCACAAAATTTCCTGTACTTCGCGTTATCGAATTGTTTGCCGTTGTCAGAGATGATGGCTTGAGGGATGCCAAATCGGCAAATGATCGATTGCCAGATAAATCTGGTGGTGTTCCGCTCGGTGATTGTGGCAAGGGGTTCAGCCTCGGACCCGCACTTGGTGAAGTATCAATGGGCGGCAATGTGCGAACTTGGTCTGGCCTCGGCGGGTGAGGGAGTGGACGCAACCAAATCTGATCCTCCCGACCTTTTGGCAAACGGATAAGGGCTGTCGAGGTGTGTGATTATAACTCCGGTAGAGGAGCATAGGGGGATATGTTGGCGAAATGTATTGTGTAATTCGGCATATCGTGTTCACCCGCACAGTCGGTTCGCCATCTGATTAAGAGTTGGCCAAAAATACCCAGTACGGAGTATCTTCTGGGCAAGGGACCTGCCACCTGAATGATTACCACAAATTCTCTCATGGATCTCCTGCATTACATAAGTTGCTTGAGCTGGATTGAGGCACCGTAGATATGGCCGGGAGAAACCGCGCTTATACAATATACCGTCGATAATGATGTAATTGGACGCTCGAGATCGGACTTTGGCAGCCTGCTGTTGGTCATCTGGGAGTGCTCCTGTGGTCAAGAATAGGAGAATGTCGGATGCCCAAGGGATGGGTTCGTTTTGGATGTATTGTACAGCTTGCAGGTCGGGTGAAATGGCCGGGTGGTGTAGATATTCGACGCGGACATCATGGCTGAGCGTAGGATGGTCAGCAGAGGCCAACTGAGCCATCTCATCTGCTTTGGAGTTTTCCACCCGAGGAATGTGCCTGATGTGGAAGGTATTGAAGAGGCGAGCAAGGGGGAGTGCCATGTCCCTGTAAGCTCGCATCGTGTCTTCCTTGGCATCAAAATCCCCCGTCATCTGACCGACGACGAGCTGGGAGTCGCTGAATATTCGGAGGTGGCTGACCCCTATGTCCTTGGCAAGGTGGAGCCCTGCTATCAATGCCTCATACTCGGCTTCATTATTGCTTGCTTCAAACAAGAAACGGAGGGCACATTTGAAGTAACCGCCCTCAGGGGAGGTGAGGATGAGGCCTGCACCACTTCCTTCTCTTCGAGACGAACCGTCGACATTGAGAGTCCAAGAATGAGGATCTTCTGGCTCTGTTGGAGTTGGTGGGGGTGGAGGTGTAGTGGTCGGGGTCGGCTTGGTGAATTCCATGATGAAGTCAGCTATAGCCTGCCCCTTGATTGCTGTCCAAGGGCGGTAGGACATGTCGAACTTGCTGAGTTCTACGGACCACTGCATCAGTCTACCTGAGAGTTCTGGTTATTGCATGACCTTTTTCAGGGGCTGGTCGGTGAGGACCACTATGGAGTGGGCTTGGAAGTATAGGCGGAGTCGTCTGGAGGCAATGACCAAGGCCAGGGACAGTTTTTCTAGCAAGGGGTAGTTCTGCTCCGCGCCCCTAAGAGCCCAACTGATGTAATAGACCGGCCGTTGGATTGAGCCATCTTCTCTGAGGAGAGCTGCACTGACTGCGGTTCCCGATACTGCTAAGTAGAGGAAGAGAGGTTCGCCCGTGATTGCTTGGGAGAGAAGGGGAGGGTTGGCCATGCATTGCTTTAACTGTTGGAAGGCCTCTTCGGATTCAGCTGTCCATTCAAAAGTCTGCCGAAGAACTTTGAAGAAGGGCAAGCACTTATCTGTTGCACGGGAAATGAAGCGGTTGAGGGCCGCCACTCGGCCGGTGAGTCTTTGAACCTCTTTGACCGTCCTAGGCGACTGCATCTCAACCAAGGCCTTGATCTTCTCAGGGTTAGCTTCGATGCCACGCTGACTGACCATAAAGCCCAGAAATTTGCCAGACCCTACGCCGAAGGCGCACTTCTCTGGGTTGAGCTTCATCTGGTACTTGCGCAAGGTGGTGAAGGTCTCGTGTAAATCAGTGAGGTGATCGGAGGAGTATTTGCTTTTGAGTAGCATGTCATCGACGTAGACTTCCATATTCCGACCTATTTGGTGATGGAAAATGGCATTAACCAACCGCTGATAAGTGGCCCCAGCATTCTTCAATCCGAACAGCATTACACAATAGTGGTAGGTGCCTCGGTCGGTAATAAATGATGTGTGCTCCCGATCAGATGTGTGCATCAGGATTTGGTTGTACCCAGAGAAGGCATCCATGAAGCTGAGCATTTGATGACCGGCCGTGGTGTCAACCAGCAGATCTATGCGGGGAAGGGGGTAGCTATCTTTGGGACAAGCTCGGTTCAGGTCAGAGTAGTCGACACAGAGCCGCCATTTGCCATTGTGTTTGCGGACGAGGACCACGTTGGACAACCACCTAGGGTAGTCCACATTTTTGATGAATTGGGCCTAGAGGAGCTTGTCAACTTCTGCGACTATAAGAGTGTTGCGATCCGGATGGAAAATGCGTTGCTTCTGGCGGTGGGATCGAAAGTGGGGTTCGATGCTGAGGCGATGGGTTATGAAGGAGGGGTCGATGCCTGGCATGTCAGAATGGG